CCCCCCCCCTTGCATCTTCGGGCAGGCGGGTGGCGACGGCTTGGATGTTGACCTCAGCGTTGGTGGGGCACTTCGTATCGGGGTCAACGCAGGCAGCACCATATCCGGGTGTGCAACAAAAGTACTTCCTAACGGCAAGCCCCCCCACCATTCCCCCCCATTTCGCATGTTTTAATATAGGCCTTAATTTGGGGGGAGGGGCTTAATTTCATTTCATGCCTATAAAACATGCTGGGACTTCCTATTGGGGGAGGCCGTATTGTTGGAGAAACAGGGTATTGTGTAAAAGTAAAAAGTTGAGGTTGTAGTGTTATCATCTTCTACTGTGCCAAAGAGAGTTGGAGGTCAGTGCCTTTTGCTTCTTTTTACCTTTCTACCTCACATTTTCTCTTTTCCCCCTTTCCTTCCCCTAGTTTTCCATTACATTTTATTTTCCTTTGTATCTTATATGTTGATAAAAATTAATAAAATTTGATATTAAAAAAATAAACTAACCGATGACCTGAATATCATCCTCTCCCTCAAAATGTAACTGTGATGATGGAACTCTGCAATCTAGACACCATAAGTACCACCAAATTGGTTATCGACCACAGAAAATATATTGATAATTTCGCTAACATTTATTGTTGCAGAGCAATAAATGCTCAAAAAAAACCCTTTTCCTTCATTTGTCTGGAATAAGGTCCAGGTCAGAAATATTGCAATAAAGTAGTGTAATATTGATTTTACGGTCTCTTTTGCCTCCATGAAGTGGCAAAATGATCTACAGTTAGTCCTTAACTTATGACTGGTCTCTTGGTGACCATTTGAAGTTATGATGGACAAAACACTGTTTTGGCCAGCAAAATGCTGCAGGAGGCTGTCCAGGCTGAAAATGGGACACATGCGCAGCCACTACACACCCCATTTTGGCTGTCAGAGCCATCGCGGGCCAGTCCTTTGCTATTTCCAAGCTGCCCCTGCAGGCCAAATTTAAGCATCCCTCAGGCCAGATCTGGCCCACAGGCCTTGAGTTTGACACCCCTGCTGTAGCATGTTCCTGGAAGGCCTGATTAGAGAACTTCTCTGAGAAGACTAAAGAAATGAAATCTTCATGTCTAAATGTCAGTTCCTATTCAGAAGAAGCACTTAAACTACCAAGCAAGCAATATTATTTCTAGCTCTTTCTTTCTTTCTTTCTTTCTTTCTTTCTTTCTTTCTTTCTTTCTTTCTTTCTTTCTTCCTTCCTTCCTTCCTTCCTTCCTTCCTTCCTTCCTTCCTTCCTTCCTTCCTTCCTTCCTTCCTTCCTTCCTTCCTTCCTTCCTTTCTTTTGCTTAAATCTTTTTGACCAAATGCAATTTGTGCAATCAAAATTTAAAAACTGCAGTTTCAAAGTGGTTGTTCAGATCAACTCCAAACCTCACATTTATCTTCTCACTGAAAAATTCAGTGAAGAAAAAAGTATCTGGATCACATCTAGAAAAAAATATGATATGGTAATATGCTATATATAATCTTTCTTTCACCCATAAATCTTGCCAGAGACCTTGTTTATTTTTATTTTTGTAATAAATGTAGATCGGGGTATATATATATTTAAACATTTGGATTGAAATGTGTGGTGTTTTTTTAAAAGGATAGTTTCCCTTGGGAAAATCTGGAGGGGGCTCAAAATCCATTACCTCTGGAATGTTATTCCATTGCCTAACAAGTCATCTTTTTCCCCCCTAAACTGATCTAAGAAGGCTCAAAGGTATGTCCTCAGAAACTGTCCATGTTAAATATTCTGCTGTTTGGATTGCCCTTGAAGGTGGATAGATGCCTGATTGTGCCACCTGAAGAAGAGTTTGAAGTAAAAAAATGGAAAATAAAGCAAAGAGCAGATATCAAGCATACATTTGTAACAAGCAACTGCATTCAGAAATCTCTCTGAGTTTAAAAGGAAGAGAATTTTATTTAGTTCAACATGAATTCAGAACTTACAGAGATCATTCTTGTGAAAGTCTTGAAGAAGGGTTGAAAGGCAATGATTGATTTATAATAATTATGTGTCACAGCATTAGCAGAGTTCCCCTTTCCTTTCCTTTCCTCTCCTCTCCTCTTCTATCAATGCCTAGATAAGGATTAACCCCAGCTTCAATCATAATTGAAGGATTGCAGCTATGCCAGCATGTAGGGAGTTAGTGAGGATGAAACCACACAAGCCAACAGTTAGAATAGAATAGAATAGAATAGAGTGGAGTGGAGTGGAGTGGAATGGAATGGAATGGAATGGAATGGAATAGAATAGAATAGAATAGAATAGAATAGAATAGAATAGAATAGAATAGAATAGAATAGAATAGAATAGAATAGAATTCTTTATTGGCCAAGTGTGATTGGACACACAAGGAATTTGTCTTGGTGCATATGCTCTCAGTGTACATAAAAGAAAAGATACATTCATCAAGAATCAAGAATCATAAGGTACAACACTTAATAATAGCCATAGGGTAAATAGTTAACTAGAAATGCTCTTTGTCTCCTCTCTAGATGTCATGAAGGCTATGTTGGCCGGCGTTGTGATTGCAGGAAAGATGAATTACTTGGTTCAGAAGCTCTAACCCTAGCAAGTGGGTCCTTCTGCAGTTGTGACAATGTTGCCTGTGAACGACATAATGGGCAACTCTGTGCAGGTAAAAACATGATTTTCTTTATCATGAAAGGTACTATTACTCTCCATTTGAAGAGAATATATGTAGGTCAGGGTTGAACCATAGAGGCCTGTCTAAGGTTCTGTCTGAATTTTGCTGATTGCTTGCAGGCTTTTAATTTCCCAAGTAGTAACATCACTGATGGACAAACAGAAAAACAAATAGAAGAATGGACAGAATGACAGATGGACAAAATGGACAGTCAGCTGGCCAGTTCAGATAGATGGATGGACAGACAGCACAGAGTCACA